TGCCAGACTCTGGCGAAGATTTTCATAAATCAGATGAGACTTATTTCCAGACTACAGAAATAGGCAATCAAGTTTTTATATGCAATATGATGTAGATAAGGTGCACATAGCACAGTGTTCTCTCGATAAATACAACGAATCAATTCAAATAATAATTTTCCTTTGTGAATAATTCAAATTTCTAAATATTTGTAATCAGAAAATGAAAATCATTGATTATAATATGCATAAAATGAATTAATTCTCAAAATAAATGTTATTTTCTTTAAGTTTCAAAACCATAGAAATTTTCAATAAATCAAGCAGAGTAGTGCAGGGTATGTACAGGGTATCTGACAATTGAGCAACACAGCTATTTATTGTTCGCCGATTTATCGAAATTTTCTGCGGCTTTGTTGGTTTAGCGCTTGGGCGGTTTTTAAGCGCAGCAGCTGCCTAAACAGGCGGCGACTGTGGGAACAGTGGGCAATGGGCGTGTCTTGAGACATGCCCCAAATCAATGCGACAACTGTTTTGTCTATGCTAATTGTGTGTTGTACGTGCGTGTGTGCGTTGTGTGTTGTGTGTGCCTAGTCTATTACGCCTAATTGCTGTCAAGGCAATAATAACAGCAACAACCTCACATAAAAAGAACGGTCTTTGGAAAGTGTTGTTGTAACCGCGTGACAACTAATTGTCAGCATAAAAAATGTGAGCTAAACGTTTGTCTCGATCAGCAAAGAAAAAACACATAAATACCAGCTATTTGCCTTGACACTCAATAAATAACATTTTCTGTCATTATACAAAATTTTGAGAAATTTAAAAAATATTCAAACATTATTTCTAAGTCTAAAAAATATGAATATGAAAACGAAAATGTTTTTTAGAAGGTATAGCGAAAAAAAGCAACTATTAAACTTAGTCTGGTTCATTTGAGACCATTTTTCACTCTAGGAAATATTTGTAATGCAGTCAAGGTGGAAACTACCAGAGTGAATTAATGATGAATATATTCTGGATATCAACTCATATTTAAATGTTTCGGTTTGGGCTGCAAGTCCAAGAGAATTTGTAGTTTGTTTAAAAATTGTAACCCACTTGGTTTTAGGCAGCCATTAGTCCAGGTATTGTCTCAAATCTTTGTTTATCATATATTTATTTAAATTTGAATAAAATAATATGATTTTTAAATTTGTATTCCCCATTCTTCATCAACTATTTTAATCCGCACATATTTTCATATACACAAAGCGCGCTAAATTTGATCCCTATCCAAAATTGGCATCTGCCAAATATGGTTTGACAAATGCAGTGGCTGGGATCCAAGTTATTTATGCTTTGGGGCGGGGTGTTCCTCAAAAAGTTTTTTTATTTAGAGCCAAACATATTTTAACAAGAATATAGTTCGTTTCGGGTTTCGTTTCAAGTGGTTTCTTAAGGTATCGTTCATAGCTAAAATTAAATTCGAAAACCAGTTTACAGCTTTGGTTTTCGCAACGCAGCTTGGTACTTTCATAGTCTAGCAGGGGGTATTATACTTTTGTAACAAAACGTGTAACGCATAGAAGTAGACGTCTCCGACTACATAAAGTGCATATACATGCTTGATCAGTATCAACAGCCGAGTCAATATAGCCATGTCCGACTGTCTGTCTGGCTGTTTTTTTGCAGGCTCCAGTTTAAATGCAGGCAGTAGAAGAAGCAGAGACAGTCGGATCGGAACACTATATCAAATAACTACTGCATACCATTGATAGGTCGAGAATTCGGTTTTAATATGACACTCTTTATATGTTGTAACCAAACTTTGCACGTAATGAGCGAAATAATCTTGGAACTACTATCTCACGTAGCTCGATCAGAAATATTGTGTCTGTATATGAACACTTATAAGTGTTGAAATCTGCCGCATAGCGGCTATATGTCAGCAAGGGCTTATAATATTCGGCGTACGAAAGATGGCTTGTTCTTTTTTTTTTTTTTTTTTTTTGGACTTTTGTAATTTGTGTTTCATAATATAAGACTGTTAATAGGTAGACAACAGGTGGCATATCCAATTATATGTTTATGGTATGCAGCATGCAGTTCATGTGACCTCCATTTTGTGCCCCTGCCTCACCCCCGCTCTACATACAAAGCGAGTGTCTCGATTTTGTCTATTTTTATATGTTGTTCAATTGCCAGCAATGTGCGAACCGGTTCGTTGTACAGAACAACTGCAAATCTGGGAGGCTGGCAAATGTCAAGGCAACAACAACAACTACAACAACAACCAAAACAATGCCAACAGCAACCCATAAACTGTCACAATGCGAACAAGTTGACAAATGTTATTGGTTTCTTTTTTCTAGATTTTATTTTGTACTGTTTGTTAATAAAAAAAAACTAAGAATAATAATACAAATACATAAATGAACCAGAGCACAAGCCGTATTTATGCGAACTGAAACGGAAACCGAAGCTAAATAATTTGATTGATGGCTTAACGGGTTGATTATGGAAAAAACTATCTACAAAAATTGCCAATAGATTCCAAGCATATCAATAGATTATCGCATTCCAGTTTCATAAAGACAACACAAAATAGAATTGCGAACGGGGCCAACCGACTGTGCACTACCCTTTTTGACAGCGAAGCAACAGCTCGAACTGCTTTTAGAGTATATAAGTAGCAGGGCTGATTAACATCAAAGAATTAATGCTTGGCTGAGGTCTATTCTTGCTGTAAATTCATTAGTTAATCGAGCTATTTCCAAGATAAACATACCCCACTCATATGGTTTTCACGTTTTCTAGGGTATTTGCTTTAAACCTAATGACTCGATTCAGACTTAAGCAATATGCTGGCTTTAGCCGCCGGCATTTGTTTCGCTAATCTTTTGTATTTAATTGGCAGAGTATTAAATAATTTTTGGCAATAAATTAAACCTCGATCTTTCCTTTCTCGCCCCGGCACACGCAGCAACACTTTGCCAATGAGCCAGTGAAGTCAGCATGGCAGAGACAAACAACAATACGCACCAGGCAATCGGCAACGTAAACGGCAGCGAATTCAATGGCCGGCATTCGGCCTCGCCGGCACGCACCATAGACTCACACGACTCCACGACGGGCAGCATGGACACAATTGTGGACCGCAGTCTGAACCGCGAGGAGCTGCTGCAGGTGACCAATACCATTGAGCAGAGCACCAACACTACCAACGGTGCCGGCGGCAGTTTGACCAACTCACAAATAGCCATGCTACAGCAGGACTCGCAACAGCAACAGCAACAGCAGGAGCAGCAGCAGCTGCAGCAGCACGAGCAGGATGCACGTCAGCATTTGGATGCTCAGAGTCACATATATTCGAGTCCCGTTTACGATGAGAAGCCTTCGCCGCCATTGAAGCTTACGGCGGCCACATTGCTGGCCAATGCGCTGCACGTGGACAATGAAAAAGACAATGCCACAAAGAAGCCCAAGCTGATAAGCCATGAGGAGTTTAAGCAGCAACTGGAGGAGGCAATGGCCACGCGTGGCCCGGCCGCACTGAAGGCCAAGAGCGTTAGCAACACCATCGATTCGCGCATCAGCAAGAAGCAGCGCTGCCCGCCGGAGTTCATCAAATACAAAGGGGGCAGTGGCGGCGGCAGCAGCGACGGTGGCGCCGATGGCTCCACGCTGACAGCAAAGGTGCGGCGCAAGCGTCGCGCCAGCAATGAATGCTGCTCCGCGTTCCCGTTGCAAATTGTACTGGGCACACTGCAACTGGTTTTGGCTATTTCGCTGGTGGCGCTTGGCTCCCTGCTAATAGTGCGCGACGCGGCCTTGTCAATGGCCGGTTGCGGCATTTGGACGGGCCTGATTGCCGCCGTCACCGGCTCACTGGGCGTGGTCAGCATGCGCAAAACACAAACGGCCTTTCTGGCGCTCAGTTTGGTCTGCATTGCCAGCAGCACGTTGGCGCTGGCCATTTCTGGAGTGGGCCTGTCGCGCGACCTCAATCGCATGGCCGAGCAAAAGGGTGAACAGGTAAGAGCGCAACAACCATCAAACTTTTCACTTTACCCCATTGTTATTTATTTGGTATTGCTAATGCGGTTATTGTTTTGCAGTTTGACCTGATGAATGCCAATAGCGAAGTTTCAGCTGCTTGCGGCTTAATATTTGCCCTCTTTTTGCACTTTGTGGTCAGCATTGTTTCGGTTTATCGCTGCGCCCTGCAGATTTGCACAAAGTGAGTACATTCAATCGCTAAATATCATTTCAAACCAGATTGTAACGTATTCCCATGGATACCGATAGCTGCGATAGCTAGCATAGTTGCACAAATGAGCCGCTAGTGGCGTCTTTGGCTGTTAATTAACATAGTTACGTAGTGGCAATTTGAATTCATCGATAGCTATGTGCGAGGCTACGATGAATTTCGCTGCAAAGCGAGTCCCGCTAGTGGCCAATTTTAGTGCAATTGCTATAAACAAAAATAAAAGTTTCATTATTTTAAACTGATCTTAAAATGTATAGCGCGCTTGTTAATCGGTACACACTATTATTAATTTTAAACTAAACTAAATTGGCTTCAACGTCTTTTTGGCAGAATTTTATTGCTTTTTTTAAACATCTACATATACATATATAACTCTAAGCTTCTTGCTTCTGACTTTGCTCTGGTTGATTTAATCAGAAACTTTTCGCTTTGGAGTTGGTTAAGTTTCGTTGTGGATCAGGCAAAAATTACCAAATAAATGAACTCCAAATATATGCATATGTATACGCTTAAGAGGTCTAGGTATGCACCACTTGGCCAGTTCATTTATTTGCCAGTTCCTTATCTTTACGTTTTAGATTCGGTCTATTTTTATTTAACGGAAGTGCAAGTGTTTAAAGTGCGGTTTTATTTAAAAAATAATCGATGTACATCGATAGCTGAGAAGAAACCAATCGTGCTGCAAAAAGCAATCGGTCAAAATAGCTCAACTAGATTTCGATGCACCTATGTTTCGATGTTACTACACATCACTAGCACGCACTGAAACCCAAAGAAGAAAAAAACACAAAAAATTAGAAAGAAAGAGAAACAAAGTGAAAAGCATAAAAACGAAAGCACAAGCAAACGCAGCAGCAGCGAGCAGCGCAAAGCTCGCACCTACGCTTTGCCAGTTTGATGCGCCCATTCCGCAGACGCGACAACAGCAAAAGCAACAGCAACGGGAACGGCAATAGAAATAGAAATAGTAGCAAATAGAGCAAATTAAAGGCATCAAAACGCCCACAAACGTGTACGTGCAATTAAACGCCAACAGGGCAGCAACAGTCATGCCACTGGCTGACTCCAACAGGGATTTAAGACAGCTACAGCAGCAGCAAGTTGAAGTCAATAGCAGCAGCAGCAGCAGCAACAACAACAATGCCGATCAGGCACAGCTGGACAATGCCAGCAGTGCTGCAGCAGCAACAACTGCAATATCAACAACAACTGCTGCAGCAGCAGCAACAACAACAACAATGGGTCTGCAGCTGCGTCAACGCATGCAGATTACCTCCTCCGGCTGTAGCAGTCTCGCGGTGACACCAATGGAGCACACACCCACCGACGAGGAGAGTGGCGCTGTCACAACCGTGACGTCATCGCAGCGTCGCCAACAACAACAGCAACAGCAGCAACAACAACAACAATTACAAACAGCACTCGAACAACATCACATAACGCCAAGCAAAACACCCGAACAAATGGAGCTGAGCGACTCCGAATCGTACGGGGCAGCCAGCTACGATGAATTCGAACTGCGCGAGGTGGTCAAAGAGGGTCACGACAAGGCGGATCCCTCGCAATTTGAGCTGTTGCGCGTGCTCGGTGAGGGCAGCTTTGGCAAAGTGTTTCTGGTGCGCAAGATTCTGGGCAAAGATGCGGGCACATTGTACGCCATGAAGGTGCTAAAGAAGGCAACACTGAAGGTCAAGGATCGTGTGCGCAGCACCAACGAGCGAAAGATTCTCGCCGATGTGGGGCACGCGTTCATCGTTCGACTCCATTATGCGTTCCAAACACCTGGCAAATTGTATTTGATTTTGGATTTTCTACGTGGCGGTGATTTGTTCACTCGCCTCTCCAAGGAGGTCATGTTTACCGAGGAGGATGTCAAGTTTTATTTGGCCGAGCTGGCGCTGGCGTTAAATCATCTGCACACGCTGGGCATCATCTATCGCGACCTGAAGCCGGAAAATATACTGCTGGATGAGCACGGGCACATTGCCCTGACCGACTTTGGTCTGTCCAAGCAACCGCTGGACGGCTCCAAGACGTACAGCTTTTGCGGCACCGTCGAGTACATGGCGCCAGAGATAGTCAATCGCAAGGGTCACGATTTTGCTGCCGACTGGTGGTCATTTGGTGTCCTTATGTACGAGATGCTGACGGGGAATCTGCCCTTTCACGGCCAGACGCGCCAGGAGACTATGAATCAGATATTGCGCTCCAAACTGGGCATGCCCGAGAATCTCTCGCCAGAGGCTCAATCCTTGCTGAGAGCGCTCTTCAAGCGCAATCCATTGAATCGCCTAGGCGCGGGCGCACAAGGCATCCTGGACATCAAGGCGCACTGTTTCTTCGCCACCATAGATTGGGTGCGGCTAGAGCGCAAGCTAGTGCGTCCGCCGTTTATACCGGCGGTCAGTCGGGATGATGCTTTCTACTTTGATGTGGAGTACACGTCCAAGTCGCCGCGCGATTCTCCTGGCGGTCCAATTTCGGCATCCGCACACGAAATATTTCGCGGCTTCAGCTTTGTGGCACCCGTGCTGCTGGAGAATAGCACCAATATCACCTGCTCCAACAATGTCAGTCCAATGCACGCTGTTCTTCCCGCCTCCTCAGTGACTTCAGTGGTGGCGGCAACACAAGGTCCGCGCAGTTTACCTGGTGTTCTGCCTGGCAATTTCCTGACCGAATACAATCTACTACAGGAGCTCGGTCGTGGCACATTCTCTGTGTGTCGTCTGTGCGAGCATCGCGCCTCCAAGAAGCACTACGCTGTGAAGATCATTGAGAAGGCGGCCGTAGCTGCTGCCACCTCTGCATCGGCGGATTGCTGGGAGGAGGTGGAGATTATGCTGCGCTACGGCAATCATCCCAATATCGTGACGCTCTATTCTGTGTACGAGGACACCAGCTCCGCGTATCTGGTCATGGAGCTGCTTAAGGGCGGCGAACTGCTCGATCGCATCCTGGCCGTTGGCCAAATGTGCGAGAGCGAGGCTAGCGCCGTGCTGCGCACAATTGCCGCCGCCGTCGCCTATCTGCACGAGCACGGCGTCGTCCATCGTGATCTGAAGCCCTCGAATATGATCTATGCGAGCATGCGACAAACGCCCGAAACACTCAAACTATGCGATTTAGGTAAGTTTTGCGCCTGTCCAAAGGGTGCCAATTATCTAGACATACGTTTCGCTTTTCCATATTCCCACATAAAGCTTTTTAGATGGTTCCAATCAGCAATTTAGTTGAGGAAATATATATAATATCGGAACAAAAGGTTAATCGAATTATTCGTTGAGCAGAAAAACAAGGAATAAAGTCATTAAACGTGCTGATTTCTTATATTTCATTCTCGAAAAAGTCTGGCATGCATATAAGTTTTCTCTGAATTGTACTTCTTGAAAAATCTATTAATATTTCTAGTGAAATACAAACGCAGAGAAATACGCTGTACGAGATGGAATTCATACCTTAAATTTCGTTCTTGAATATTCTTATACTAACTATAAATCATTCTTTATTTATTTTTTTAACTACGCTGATTTGATCAAAAATATGGATAAAATTGTATTTAGAAAGAAATAAGATGCAGAGGGTGAAACTTTCAAACCTGAAACAAGGAAATTCAATTATTCTTGGTGTCCTTTCGTAAACGCTTTACTGCCCAAGATAATTGTCCAGACAGTGAAAACCGCAAGAGTGACCATTTTCCAATTGTGCTTTTGTTACATTTCTAAAGGTTTCACTGGCTACGCTCAGTTTGCAGTTGATAAAAATAAGTAAAGACAGGAACAAGCTTTTCACCATGAAAGATAGATACATACATTTTTAAATCTTGTGAGTTAACAGAAGAACAAAAAAGACAAATATTTTCAATTTATTTTTTGTGTCATTCGTAAACGTTATACCAGTTCAATATGGAGACAAAAAGATAAGGAGATCAACAGTAAAAATATATATACAGCAAAAACAGGAGACAAATATTTTCCATTTTTCTATAGTTCTTCCTATTCTGCCTATTTGCTAAGCAAATATGAAAAAGCTGTTTTATAGCAGCGACAATCTATACAGAAACGAGTGCATGCAAATAGCTTGCATTTATCAATTACTTTTTGTATCGCATTCGTAACCATTTTACTGGAATCAACTTGAAGCAATAATGTGAATAATCGTTGGAAACTGAAATATGGCTGTAATATGATCCAGCTTGCGACTTTGATAAATATTTAAATACTGTCCAAATGAAACTGTGCAGATATCACATCCACTGGCAGCAATTCACTTTGATCATATGTATATCATTTTATCTAATAAAAATTCGATTTGCAGGCTTTGCCAAGCAGCTGCGCGCGGACAACGGCCTGCTGATGACTCCCTGCTACACGGCCAACTTTGTGGCGCCGGAAGTGCTAAAACGGCAGGGCTACGATCTGGCCTGTGACATTTGGTCGTTGGGTGTGCTCCTCTACATCATGCTGTCGGGACGGACACCGTTTGCCAGCACGCCGAACGATTCGCCGGATGTAATTTTAAAGCGTATTGGATCTGGACATATTGATTTTAGCAGCCCGCGCTGGTCGCTGATTAGTGCGCCGGTGAAGGAGCTGTTGCGCCAGATGCTGCACATTGTGCCCGAGAATCGGCCAACTGTGGCGCAGATACTGGAGCACAGTTGGGTGCGTGACCAGTTTTCCGGCACTGTGCAGCTCACAGAATACGCACTGCAGCCGACTGCTGGCAGCAACAATGCCCAACAGTTGACTTTGGGAGCACAGCAGCAGCAGCATAACCACATTTCGATGGCGTTACGTGGCGCTGTGGATGCAACGTTTAGGGCAATTGCAATACCGCAGGCGGCGAACGTGGGCCCCGTGGAGCTGTCGATGCTGGCCAAGAGGCGTGCCAAGGATCGCGCCAATCTGCATTCCTAATTGTGGGCAATGCTGTGCCCGAGACGCCAAGCCAAGCGGCAGCTAATTCAATTAATATATAAACTCTATAGTATTCTAATGCATTGCTGTGCATTTCCGCAACGCCTTTGGGAGTGGCATGGCGCCCTAAATCCATACCAGCGGCAGGAGAAAAACAACAAATGCCGTTTAAAACGGCAGCGCTGCCCCAGCGCCAAACTGCGCCTGGTCTGAGGATATGGATATGGACGTGGAGGCAATACAACGCGCTCTCACTCTCCCCCTCTCCTTCTTTTTCACTCGATCGCGTTTCTTCCATGCAGCGCGGCTACTTTCTAGTATTTGGACGAGTATTTGAAGTGTTAGTTATTTATTTTATAAAAATCCATGCCAGATGCGATGATATGAACGATATATGTATGTGTCTGTTCACACTGCATGTGTGTATGCAGGTGTAACTGTACCCATGCCCAGGTGCAAGCAGCAGCTTTTAAGCATATGCTTTACATATATACAAGATATATACATGTATATATTATATAATGCCTATGCAAGTGTATGCGTTCTTCGTCAAGCCCTTAAACCCAGTTGCCGAGTTTCAGCTGGTTTTCCAGCCGGGCCCCAACGGAGGCAGCACTCAAAACTAAATCAATCTTAAATTAATTTCAAATGTTGGCCAAAAAATCGTGCTAAAAATTTAAAAAATGATATAATACTTACATATACATATATATATATATATATATATATATATATATACACTATATATACATATATGAAACAAAAAGTAAAAGCGAGCAAAGAACGTGACTATTTTAATTATCTTAGCTAAATTTTTCACATCACGTTATTGTTGTTAAATTAATTAAAAATAATTAAAATTACAAATTAAAAGAAACGAAAAAAAAAAGAAAAGCATACCAAACTAACCAAATGAGAAGTTTATAAACAATACCTTTTAAATCTATGCAAAATGTCAAATCTTTTGTTTGAATTCAGTTCAATGTGTTGTTCAGTATTTTTACACCCTGCCAAGCCAAGCCTGTGCTATATCTATCAACTATCTATATGTCAATTTGCATGAATTTACCTATATGCATATATATATTCACGATATGTTAACATATTCTTATATATATATACATATATATATATATTGATGTTGCACTTGGTAACAAATTGCATTTACGATTTTTACCATTAACCATCTGTAAATATCTATAGCTATATACATATATATACAAATGTGTGATAACGCATTGCTACTCGTATTTATACCAAAAAGCAAACATAAAGTAAAACGAATGGAAAAAAATAGAAAGTTTCAAATATATATGTAGAACCAGGCATTCGATAATTGGCACTTCCATCGATTTGAATATGCTACGGATGAGTCGAAGAGTATTTTGTTGTTGCCTCAAAAAAAGCTAGCATAACCCCATGTTTGCACCCGCAGCCACTCCCACCCGCCCACTTCTTCTATGTGACGCATTTTGATTATGTTTTATGCAAATTGTTGAATTTTTGGAAAGCGATCCGCAACATGTTAACAAGCATTTTATGGTTATGTGTGCGCAAAAACTGAAGAATGCCGAATGCTTTATATATATAGTATATGATCAAAGATATAATATGTAATCGCAGTGTTTTTGCCTATGGAAAATCGAAGTCATTAGGTGAATAATATAACTAAAGTACAATTTTATTAAGCCTAAAGCGCACAATTTAAACATCTTTTTAAAGCTGGAACTTGGTTTGAATCTCCATAGTTACGATGCCAGAACAATTGTGAAAGAAAATGTGATTTTAAAATGCAACTTTTTCGCTTATAAATAACTAACGAAAATTATTAAGAAATACAACAAACAAAAAGGTTAATAATAATAATATAATCAATTACACAGATTGTTTGGTATATGTGGTATATGTAGTACTAAAAGCAGCCAGTCAAGTCACGATTGCAAAAGTCAGCCTGATTCCAACTAAAGCCCCCATAAGCATTGGCTCGCCAGACAACCTATGTATACATAAGACTACATTCATATACTATATATATTATATACATATACATATTAATATATATGAGACATTCCCGTCGTTAACTCGTATTGCAGGCTAAAAACAAAAAGTAACTAAATTAAATCAATTAATCGAACAACATTTTAATGCAACATTTTAATTATGCAATGAGCTAATTCCTTAAGCGTTGTGTGTGTATCACTTTTATCTGTAGCTTAATAGATCCTATAACCAGTGCTGCCAATTGCCGCCCAAAAATAGTAGCTGAATCGAAATACATACATACATACATATGAGAAAAGCTAATAATAGCTGAATTTGCTTTCTGCGAACAAATGGGCAATTGCCAAAAAATAACTAGATCAGTTTAAAATCTCAACTGTAACTGTTTCCGGCTGACGAGTTCTGAAAATGGCTGAATTGGCAACACTGCTTATAAGTGGGGGAATATACTTATGTATAAAGTACATAATGTGCTTAGTGTTATATATGTGTATGTGCATTTGTTTTTCTTTTGAATGTATTTTTTTTCTTGGAATACTTATAAAGATCATCTGATAGGGTGCGTGTTGTGTGTAACAATTTCGCGCTGTGCAACTGAACGTTTGCTAACCACAAGCAACAATAATAAATGTTAGTTAAAAACTTTGCAAATTTTATGACAGTTTTGAGCCTTCGGGTGCTGTCAACCTATGTATTACATGCATATACATACATATACATATGTATGTATGTTAGCTGATATTCATACATACGATTGTATATGTTAGTTAGCTGATGCTGAAAATAAACGAAATGGTTTGTTATAAAATGCTGTGCACACCACACACACACACATACACACACACACACACTCAACAAAAATACACAGTTGAAGTCTTAACTTCATTTCACACAGATCAAACACACACCCACATAATACATACATACATGGATGCTATACATACATATATATTTTCTTAGTAGATTTTTACAGCTTCCAAACGAAAATCGCAAATCCAAAATAAACACTTTAATTGTAATTAACTGATTCTAAATTCTTGTAAAATTAATTGAATAAAATTTGAACGAAAAAATAAAGAAAACAAATGTATGTGCAAGCGAAAGCCCATTTATCAACAAACCAAAAGACAACTACGACTTACTACGAGCTTCTTATCACCGTGTCGCATTCAGGTGTGCTAATGGCGCAATTGATAAGAACTAAGCCAAGTTAGGACTCCTTATCAGGCCTCTATCGGGCGGGACGGACATTTGACTTTCTATGTGTCATACGACTTATACCTTTCATATCATGATGCAATTCCAAATGAGCGTTTTCTAATTTGGTTTGGGTTTTTCTCGGTGTAACAATTGTTGACTTTATTACTCAGCTTAAAATACTAATTAATTTTTGTTTTGGAATCATTGATTTGATTTTTGTTTAGTTTTTTTTTTTTTTGTTTTTAGTTTAGTTTCAATTGTTTATTTTATTTTGTGGCTTTATGCACATTCTTTTGTTCTGTTCAATTTTACCTTATATCTGCGCCTCTTGGTTAGACAATTAATTAGAATACATAAGTAAGCAGTTACACATAATTTGAGATATATAAATTAGTTGGACATTAAATAGTGAAATGAAAAAAAAACAGAAAGCAAGAAATTAATTCAGTCACTAAATTATTGTACAATGCATGTTCTTTGACAGAAATTAATCCTCCTTTGTATACATACGTTTGCTATGTATATGTGTGGGAGAAACTTTTAATTTTATAAAAATAATATATGTGTATGTTAATAATTATTTATTATTTGTATGTGTTCTATATAGCATTTAGTAAGAACACGTCCTGTTTCTCTGTTGCACTCTCTACTGCCTGTTGCCTTTGCCCTTGCGATTGTTGCGCTGCTTATTTGACGTCGTCGTTGTTGTTGCTGTTGTGTTCTCTGGTGTTTCTGTAATTCAGATTGAGAAAGAGCTTCAGCTGAGAAATTGAGAGCTGTTTGTCATGTAAATACCTTCAGGCGCACTCGCATCCAGTTCCACTTTCTGCATCGTCTGGCTGATTGTTTCGAGATGTGCCTGCACTGGCGTCTCATCGCTTAGTTCTACAACGAGTGTTTCCTCCGGCTCAAGATGCGCCCGCTGCTCCTGCTCCTCTTGCTCCTGCCGTAGCAGCGCTGGCACCTGCTCCACCTGCACAACCACTTGCTGCTGCTGTTGCGGGTGTGGTTGCTCTTCGACAACATGCGCCTCTTCAGCAATGATCCCATTGAGCACATTCACCGCCTCCTGTGCCATATTGGCCTCGGCTGCTTTGCGCCGCCGCTGTTCCAGCTCGCGCGTGTAATTGTGCGTCCATTCGATATGCTCTTTGTAATATTGATGCACTGGTATCACAATCACTGAGATATCATCAACTGTAGCCGCCGCTTTGCTATCCGCCAAACGCCAATGGCCAGAATCGTTGATTTTGCCTCGTGCGCGCGCTACTAGTTCCTGGGCGACCATTGTGTAGCGATGCTTCTCCTTGGGGTATCGCGACAACGTTTGGAAGACGGTGCGCGCGACGGCATCATTTTCGGACACATCCCAGAGGCCATCGGTGGCCATTACGAGTATGCCATAATCACCATCCTCGTTGTGTTCATCGAGAATGCTGACAACCTGACTGAGATCACGCTGTCGCACATCGGGATGCGGCGTTAGGAATGGTTTGATCTGTATGCCCGTATTTATGGCCAGTAGATCGTGATCACCAAATCCACGGGTCACGCCCAGCGTGCCCAGCAAGCGGCTGCGCTTGCCCTCGCCATTGACAACGGGCATGCGCAGATCGTCACGCGTCAGCGTCTTATATGTCCAGCCCTTCATGGTGCCCTGGCGACACAATATGCGCTGGCCCATGTCCTTAATATGTGGCCGCTTCGCATACTCCATGGCCACATAATACTTACCCATCAGGTGCGGCTTCAAGCGGGCCACGTTTAGCAATCGTTCCCGTTCCGTTTCCGGCGTATGGTCAGCCGAATAGGCCGTGGGATAGCTGTGCGCAGCATCCACTGGATCGGGCTCAATCTTATTGGGCTCTGTTGTTGTTGATGGTGTCACTCCAGCACTCGTTCCCGGTCCCGCTCGTCGCTGACAAAGCACAGCGCGACTATCGCCCGCATTGGCTACATACATTTTGCCATCGATGAAGAGCGAAACGCAGGCAGTGCAGCCGCCCGCATCGCGGTACCGATCTCTGTCCTGCGCTATTAGCGAATCCATGTGAAAGAAGGCGCTCTCCAGGGCACCAATAATTAGCTCGTCCTTGCTCACGCGCCGCTGAAAGTAAATTGGGTGAGGGAATGTCGCATTCAACTGCAGTTTGCCGTTCTCGCTGTCCGCATCGCGTGGCAGCAACAGCTCGATGCAGTCCACCAGTTTCTCGTGCAGTATGTGATGGAATTGATGCGAGGCGGCCAATGCGGCTCCGTACCCGGCATGGCCATCGAAAATGCCAAAATACGTGTAGGGCAGATCAGGATGATTGTGTTCCGGATCCGAAAGGACTTGTCTGCAAGGAACATGATAGAATGGTTAGCATTTTCGCTGCTAGTATAATTACAATTTAAGCCGGATGACTTATTCATAGACGCTTTTGATTTTTACTTTTAAATTAATTACTTTTTTTATAAGGCTTTTTATTGCCGAAAAATGTGGAGGCATAAGCTTTATTTTTAAATTTTAAATGTATACCAACATTTTTATCAGCTTTCTTTAAACTAATTATTTGCCTTATCTTATATTTTGACATTTCTAGTTAAATTGAAATATTTTTGTGATAATTATCTTATATTAATTTTTTTTAAATTCTGGTAGACATTTTTCCGTTTTACTTTTTCATGGCAATTTTGGGCATTCGGCTTCGCAATATTTTTGGCAACACTGGCGAACAGTGCTGTAACTTACCGAGAGAAGGCAGCCTGATCCTCGTTCCACTCGGACTTGCCAGAGTTGACGCACTCGGCGTACCCAGTGCCCCAGGGTAGCAGATTTATGTCGCGCGGTACGATTATCGGCCGAACGTTGTGATCGGCAGAGGCGCGCAGCTCATCGGCAGTGAGCAGCTGTAGAAATGGAGGCCTTGCATAGGGAAACTTGTCTGGCATTTGCTGCCCAGAGCCCAAACGCAGTGCGCTTCGCTGATGCTCCCGGTCGCTGCTCGGCAGTGGTGGCAGATCGGGCGCAATGGCCGATATGAAGCGATTTTTAAAGTTATTAAACATGGTTGGGAGTGAGAAGTTTCCGCAAAAGCCTCCGGTGGTCGGTCGCACTCACTGCTGCTGCACTTGGGTGCTGCCTCTCGCTCACTCCCACTGACGTGGCGAGCTTGCGGTTTTTTTTTATATGTCGTTTGCAATTTGTCGACTCTGTTCAGTCCCTATTCCGCTCTTATCTTTATACTGCGGCTAATAATGTGACGAAATACAAAGTAAAATAGAATTAACACACAGCTAGCTGCTGGATTTGGTTTATCACTCTGTTTTCTTTGTGTGCTTTAATTCGGAATCGATTGCGGCAACTTTATTATCGATTGGTGTTTGGCCACTATCGACTGGGCTTTTGTTTCTTTTATTTTGCGTGGTAAAAAAAGTTTTCCTATATTTTGTTGTTTACTATTGATATTTTGAACGCAAACTCTGTCGAATACTATCGTATAGAATCACCAGCACGTTATCGATCAATTTGATTTCTTTTGCTCCACCGACCAAAATAAACATCAACAACAACAATCAGCCCATTTATCTGTTTTGTCTTTAATGTTGTAAAAATCAATACTTTGTGATACACTGATGTTTGCAGGTGCCCGCACGCATAGGATGATTAGTTTATAATTAATTAATATGAGCCTTGAGCACTGGTTTCGTATGTTTCACCTTTTACTTAAGCCGATTTAATATTTTCTCTTGCTGACGAATTTGTATGAAAAACAATAGAAGAAGAAGCAGCTGCTAGGTAAGGGATTAGGGATGAGCAGTGCAAGTATAAATGCATATCGAACTATCGTCATAATGACGATATTTATTGTACGATACTGCGATACACCTATATAGGCTTTAAATGTAGATGGCGCCACAGGTGCCGTTTAAGAATTTTAAAAAAATTGTTAACGTGTTAATTTTTGGTTTACTTGCAGATCACAACATAGCGAACTGCGCGATGTTATCATCAAGTCGAACGCATCAGGCATTGCATTAGATCAGCAAAAGGTGGATCAATACATAAAGGCCATGTCACTCAACGGAAGTGAAAAGGTAAGACTACTTCAGGTCAGACTAAGTTTTAAATTTGAAACATTGTCCCCGTTTTGTGTAGGTAAGCAACGAGAAACTGGCGGCCATGTGGATGTATGCCACCCACATGGGCAGCCTGCCACCGCCCTCGGTGCGCAAGTTGACACCACCATCGCGTTCCATCATGCTCATACCAGCCACAGCTGCCGGTAATGGTGTAAGTATATATTCATAATTATATATGTACATATATATGTGTGTGTATAAAGATGCATGATCCAATTTAATCACATTACAGGCACCACCGCCGCCTACACGCATGCCGCCTGCACCACCAGGATTAGGAGCTGGTATGCTTCTGCCAGTGCCGCCGCCACAGTATCGCGGCATGACGTTACCTTATATGCGGCCGGGTTCAGTACTTTATGCGCATCCCGCCAGCCTCACGGGTACCTATCGGACACACAAGAGCACCAAGTCGGCGGAGTTGAATGGCCAGCGTCGGCGTCGTCGTGCCGGCAAATCGGATGCGAATCGACGCCAGCGACGCAAGTCCGAGGCGGATGTTCTAGATGGTGCACCC